TTTTTTTGGCTATGTGTCCAAAATGAAGCAAGGTTGATGAAAATGTAGTGACAGAGGCTTGAAGAATTAACTCTGTACTTTCCTTAGACACAATGTCTCAGTATTGACTGAGTCAGTGGGGTGCAGGGAACCAGGGATTCTATGTAGGAGTGGCAAGAGTACTACTCTCTGGCGTGTCTGGGAGGTGTTGAGTTCTGGGCGGATGACAGAGAGAGACCCCCAAAGACCACAGTAATGTCATCCCCATTATCAAAAACACATTAAATGCTCACATATACAGGATGTACAGGACCTTGTGCTAGCTGCTGCCCACCAGACCCCCTGAGCTGCCTATCAGGGAGAAAACAAAGAAATCAAAGTATCGATTACTGCTGGCTGTTGGGTTAGCAAGAGGGAAATGATCAGAGACGTGCACACATAGAGGCTTCAAAAATATTGATAATATTTTATTTCTTAAATTGGATAATGGTTACACTTTGTTTCAGTATTATAGACCACACATCATAGTCAGATAGACTCATATATATTCATATTTATTAATATAGTTTCAGGCTGTTACATGAGAAAGAAATGACTTCCAACTTGTTTTGATGACAATTATTTTGATCTGAGACCAAGTGATCCTCTTCTAAAGCTCCATGGTCTCTGAGACCGAAACTCTCTATTCTGCTGTCATTTGATGCAACATGTGGCTGCTGTCCCCTCGTAGTACATGACTGCTTCAGTACCTGCCATCGCATCTAAATTCTATCCCATAGTTTGAGAAACAGAGTCAGGCATGGTGGTGCACGCCTGTAATCTCAGCAGCTAAGGAGGCTTAGGTAGGAGGATTGTAAATTGGAGGCCAGCTTCAGCAACTCCACTCAGTGAGAATCTGTCTCAAAATAAAATAAGGGGAAAAAAAAAAAAAACGAAAGAAAAGAAGGGCCCAGAAGGTAGCTCAGGCCTCAGGAGACAGAGGAAAGGACTTCCAAAGTAGAGGTGACGACTCATCAGTCAAGTCTGAAATGCCAGGTAGATTTACTTGCTGCTCCAACATCAGGGTCCTGCACTCAACTCTCTGCTTTCTGGGAGGCCTGCGTAGTCCAGGGAAGAGATGGCCAGGGACTGGAGAGAAGGTGCTACAGGTAAACAAAAGTAAGCCACAGTGGCTTGGGATTGATTTGGCAATGGGCTAGGCGTGCAGAGCAGGGCTGTTGGTGAGAATTACTATTAGCTGCAGTCTTCCTTTGTTTTCTGTGGCTGTCACTGAATGCTGGAGATGGAATAATTTTTAATGAATACAAGTGTGTCTGGCTCAGGGTTCTGGAGACTGGGAGGTCTAAGAACTCAGGCTTGCAACTGCTGAGGGACCCTGCAGATGACATCTGACACAAGGTCGTTACAGGCCCAGACAGAGCCAGCCGCTAGCTCTGGCCTCTTCTGCGTGAGCTCATGGAATCCTAATCACCTCTCAAAGCCCCACCTCTGAAACGCATCAACATATTCAAGTTTCCATCCCGTAAATTTAGAGACACACCCAAACCATAGCTGCTGGCACATCCAGGAGGCTGGGGATGGTACGTCTCTAGGTCAGAGAAGTGAGGGGCAAGTTTATGGAGAATGTTCCATGAGCTCTCATGGGCCATGCATGAGTCTTCACATACCTGAATGTGGCCCTAAGAAACTCAGTACCAAAAAGAAGAGAAAAATTCCATCTTTGTAGAACTTACACTCTAGTATTCTGTCCTAGTTTTATTAGTTTTGGGTCCACTTGAATGCCTGAAATCTCACTTTAATTTGCTTTGAGAGATCCAGTCATTACTTGGCCCTCGTACTACCCAACAGTGATCTCTTTGATGGAAAAGGTTTTCACCCTTGAGGCCCGTCTTCTAGTGAATATACTCAGGGATAATTTCCTTCCTCATTGACAATTCTCAGGATCACCTTCCTACCTCACAGTTTTGAACCCTCGATGCCTTCCCTAGTCTCCTTACTTCCCTCTCCTTAACAAATGGCCTGAAATAGAAGTTCATGTTTT